CCCCAAAACCCCAAAACCCCAAAACCCCGTGATTTAGCAAATGAGTTGAAACAATCTGGTCGATGATTTCACTAAATTCTACAAATCAAATTTTATTAGATTATATTTGAGGTAAAACTCGATCCTCTCGAACATTTCATCAGCTGTATAGTCAAAGTTTAATGAGCCATACTCAGCCCTTAGAGCAACTGAATACAGGTCATAAGCTCTAGCAGCTTGCAGTTCAATAGCAAAGGTGCCAATGTACTTCTTTATATGCCCAATATTGATGAGAGCCTGCCAATTAGTAGTATTTTTAGATACGCCAATATACTTAGACCTCCGCTTGATTTTCATCCTATGAGCACTCTGAGCTTTCCTTGATGAAGAAATAACTCAGTTAGGCTATGATTAAGGATACGCTCTCTCAACCTAAGAAGCCTCTCTCTAATATCTAGCTCCTTAGCCTTACGCCTGCGTCTCTTAGAAGCAGAAGCTTCGCTTCTTTTTCTTCACTTCCTTCAGACATTTTCCCCTTTCCGAGTAGTTTACCTGCGACTTCTTTTGAACTTGGTTGAAGGTAGATGCAGCTGGGCCCAATCAAAGTTATTCATTATATTATACTTTATTTGGCATCTAAATTATGTTTAAGTATTTCATAATGATGAAAGTATAAACTGGTGAGTGTGTCACATTTTTCCCATTAATCTTACCTTTTGTTTCAATTTCAAGCACAGGCGAAGGTCTCATCTGAGACTGTTTAGAAAGGAAACCTCTGTATTTCAGGATAATGAGCTTTCAGTAGAAGTTCATGTCCTGTCAATACATAGAGCTGAGCTTATTTATGATTTCTTTGTAACCCCACATCGAGAGGGGAGCATAATTTTTATCTTAACAAAAGTTTGCAAAATTCATTTTTAAAATTATGAATTTTCATTTTAAGTTTTTAAATAGTATTTGGTGACACAATCCTAGAAGATACAAAGTATTTTGATTATCTCAGAAATTATAAAGAAAGGTGGATTTCTGTTGGATGCCATTTTTCCTCTGGATGGGTAATTTTTACAAAAATATGGCAGGAAACTTAAGTTATCTGGTGTAAAAGATCCTCACTTAGCTCTTCTTGATATTGAAAGGCAATCAAAGCAATTTTGAGCTTCTACCTCTTTTTAGCCTCCAGTCTTTGAAAGGATAAGAGTTACTACCAACATTTAAACTTCCTTTCATCTTCAAGTCCTTAAGAACTTATCGAAGTTCTTTCGATGGGTTCAAAATTCTTTAACAGCTTCTGAATTACTTTTTTCTGAAAGAATTTCCTGCTTAATTTTGCAGTCAGATTATATCCTCTGTTGGCTCAAGATTTATTTAACTTCTTACCAGCTATAGAGAATTCGTATGGAGAAGTATTGAAATCTCTAAAAAAATTCATAAATATAGTGTACCTACATTTTATTCACCAGAAAAGGTAGCCTCATGGATGAAAATTTCGGCCAATTCTGGTCAATAAAACTGTAATTTTCCTCGAAACCTTAGCTTGTACTACTCCAGATGATTTAGCCATTCTGAATCAATTATATAGTCCAACTGCTTCATTCTTTATCACTCAAGCTTGGAGAAAGACTAGTGTTTAGGCCTTACAACAAAGCAAAGAACTAGATTATGACCTTTTAAAGGACTTCTAAGACTACTTTCGGAATCTTTTCAGTAATTTAAGGATTCTGTATTATCCATAAAACGACTGATAAAGCTCTATTATGATTTATCCTATGTACTTGAGTCATAAAGCAGCATAGTTATTGTTATGCCAAACTAGAAAACCAAAGTTCCCTTTTTCCAACAAAAGGTTATACTCTTAACATACATTTTTAAACCAATCAATCTTGATCGAAAGTGAATATTACTCAGAACTTTGAGCTTAATGACATCCGCCAAGAGTTTATAGAAAATTGATTAGTATTGACAAACAGATAGTAAAAACGTACTCTTTGCTATTTCTCTCTGTAAGGTTGTAGTGCTATAACTTACATTCACTACTTTGAAAGATAGAAACTCAGGGATAATCTTATCATTATTTTCATCTCAAACTCCCTCAATTCAAGACTAATGATTGATAGACACATCAAGGACAGCTAGGCTTACACATCTAATAATCCTAAACCTTTCTGATTAACCATAAGTAACTAAAAGTGACAAAGGCAATCACTGATTGCTAAAATGTACCATTGAGGGAGACTGAAACCTGGATAATCTCATATCTGATTCTCAAACTTTTTAGAAGTTATAAACTGCACAAACCTTATAGCGTTTATTTACCGACCTGGGAGCTGTAAACTGTTGACATTGAGCTGGAAAAGAGATTACTCGCTGTTTCTTCACTGCTTTATTTAGGATTCCTGATAGATAGTTTGAGTAATTGTTCCTAAACTTTATTGCTGTTTTAGAGATATTTATGATGTTTAGATTGCAATTTAACTACAACTCTTACATTTAGAAGTGGAAAATTTGGTTTGAAAACAGGAATCTGAGATTCAAGTAGACTTATGTGTGAATGACTCCACCTTTGTTTTTAAAAATCAAGGAATATCTTCTATCTTTATGAAAGCACTTAACCATCTTGACATTGGAAATCTTAGCAAAACTCTCTCAACCCCCTAAAACTTTAAGTTCCAAAAATAAAGAGTCTTGAAATACAACCAGACAAAACTGGCAAAACAGAGTAAATGCTACACTTTGCAGATTCTGATGATATGTTTTTACAGCCTTATCAATCTCTCATAGCTTTTGCTTCAAGAAAATCTTAAGATGACAACTAACCCATTCATATCTTCTAATCCAATTCTTTATCCTTTATGTACAAAAATATTACATTTCACAAGTATAAAAAGTAATGAGCTTGCTTAAATCCTAAAACCTCACAGTCACTATAATAGTCGCTAAGGCTTCTAAACATCCATAAAATCTACTGACTTCGCTAAGAAACCCAAAAGAGCTCATTAACATTTCAGGATACAGTCCAGTTATAACAGTGTGGTAACTAAGCAGTATTTTAGCGTTTCTAAATATCTCTAAACTCATAAAACAATATGCTTTCTTAATGACAAAATTCACTCTAGAGAGTCCTCAACCCCTTTTCCATTTAATTAAACATATTTAGTTATATTTTCCAAAATTTTTAATGAAGGGTTTAGGTATTTACTTACCCAAAAGTAATATAAAGAGGCTATATTGAGATATGAAATACTTAAACTATACTAAATCCTTCAGATCTTACAATTCTACCTAGGCTCTTTCAGGCAAACACTTCTTTGGTCATATAACCTTCTTTGTCGCTACTCAAGTTGAGGAATGTTACCTAAATTTGCATTAAGAGTGCTTTCAACATTGTAAATCCTTCTCGGGGTTTTGGGGTTTTGGGGTTTTGGGG